CAGGTGTATTTATGTAGTATTGTTTTAAATGTTAAAAAATTTAATTATAGTACGGAACCGAACAGAACCGAACCGAACCCGAACGGTTCCAAAATTATATTTGGAACCGACGGTTCCATTTACTAAATACCCGAAAATCTCTGGAACCGAAAAAAATCGAACCTAACCGAACCGAACCGACCCGCGCCCACCCCTAAAATTGACACGAAAGTCACTTTTCCATAAATGAATTTATTTTTAATTTCTAAACCAAACTCCAACAAAATGCTTAATGCTAACGTAGCTATTCACATCTTCACCCCAAGAAAGAAACTATGTAAAAAGATAACAAACGGTCAAACTGAAAAGTGTACTTTATGGTACCTATTTTCACTTTCCTTAGTAACAATATTCAAGTATGTAATTTAAGACATAATCCGCAGTTATAGAAATCCGAATCTGAGTGAGTAGAAGGGGAAACCGACTAGTACAAGCACGAGCTGATTATAGGGGAAGTTCACCACTGTCTGCAATCACAACTTTGCTTTTGGGTGTTCCACTCTGTTTGCCTTCGGCTTCGATCTTATACACCACATCCATTCCGGACAGCACCTTTCCGAATACAACATGACGACCGTCCAACCTATCAAACATCAAGAAAATCCAGTTAGCTTTTCTGACTAAAGAGAAGCAGCAGCAGAAGAAAGCAGGTCTGAAAATGGTTGAAAGTTTTCAAGATAGTAGATAATTAACCCAGGACCATAAATTATATAGTAAAAACGAACATTTCAACCCGGGACCATAAGTTATATAGTTACCAGCTGGTTGTCACAGTTGTGATGAAAAACTGTGAACCATTAGTGTCCTGCCCAGAATTTGCCATAGACAAAAGCCCTGAAAATTAGACAAGAACAGTCAGATGTCACAAAGAATAGACGCTTTCATGCAGTGAAATTCAGAAATTAGAATCGAATCGAATTGAATCACGGGCACAGAGGAGTAAGATGGTATTTGGGAACGGGGGGGGTGCTGGGGCATAGGCAATTTTCCTACCAGGTCCTGTATGTTCGATTTTGAAATTTTCATCTGCAAACTTCTCCCCATAAATTGATTCCCCGCCTCTACCATCGCCGAGAGTAAAGTCCCCGCCTTGAATCATGAAGCTGGGTATTATTCTGTGGAATGTGCTTCCTTTGTAATGAAGAGGCTTCCCACTCTTTCCGGTACCTTTCTCCCCTGAATGCAGAAAAACATATTTGTGATTCATGTATGTGTAGATACTGAATAAGAAGGCAGCCAAAAAGATCATACTAGTACAAAACTTTTCCTGTAATAAAAGCAATAAAATCAATTCATCGATCCACTTAATCACCAGAATAAAAACATGGCCAAAGCTGATGTCACAGTACCTGTACACAAAGCTTTGAAATTTTCTGCAAGAAAAAATAAGTGGTGGAATTAATTCCAAAAACGTCAAATCTTAAACGATTCATCACTATTCATCTAACAATACCATCATATCTGCTGTCTTAGGAACAGTTTTTCCAAAGAGACCCATAACAATACGCCCTGAAACGAAAACCACGTTTGATAGACTAGGGTAAATAAACTGCAAAAAATAATAATTAAAAAAAAAAAAGAATTGATAACAAGAATCTCCTAAATTAAAAAAAATAAAGGCAGTCTTAAATTGGTAGTTATGAGACCAGAATTCATCTTTTCACATTGAGGTTGCAATGTAAACCCACAAAGCAACACTAATCATCTGCTTGACTTGAATCACTCTCAACATAATCTAGCCACATTTCACACAAATAAGTTAATAATCGAAATATGACACCTGCAAACCACATTGTTCACTGTTCTCTCCATCAACTCCTATGCTTATATTTTAACTGGCAATTTTGTTTGTATAGTTTTTGTTTTCTTTCAGCTCAGTTGGTAGGAAACTTGAGATAAAAAGGGTTCAAATATTACAGGAAGACTTCATTCAAGCTTGGAACCAGTGAAGGATGAGTTTTCGGCTGAACATTACACTCCTGTAAGTTATTTTATATCCCAGACAAATTTCAGGTTACAAGAAAGCAGCTGAATACCCTTATTTTTATAATCCCAATGGCGTTTCTTTATAATCCCAAGTAGCTTTTAATTGGTCCTGTTATCAATTCAATTAGTTCCAATTAGGAAATATAGTCTGAAAATTTAAATTATGGAAAGATAACTCTAAACTCGTATGATGTTTTGGTTTTGAGAAGATCCATTTTGTAGAAAATTTTAAATCTTTTGAAGTCTTTGGGAATCTGTTATGCAAATTGATGTCTAGATGTGATGTCTATCAGGAGCTTAGAATTATTACCAGAGTTTCTTCTTCCGAAAAATATAAACAACATACCACAAACAGCTAAACCACTTGCAACCCTTAATTTTCTTTATCTTGTTTCTTTTATAATCTTAAAGCAATCAAGGATAAGAATTTCATAACATCATTTGACAAGAAACTCATTCTCTCATTCTGCTAAGACGAACCCACTGAGCTAATACACATTACACACAAATTTCAGGGGCACAAGCATAATGAGAAAACTTTCCAGGGTCTTTTACAAATGAAAAGAAGAGTTGAATGGAAGCACATGCCCATTGATTAGAGATATTATTAGTGAACTCCTCACATTATAAAGCAGCATCATAAAAATAATTTGTAATAAAGCATCAATAAACTTAGGAGTTTAAAGAATATCACAGTAGAACTGTAGGAGATTTAGAGCATACCAGCGGGTTTTC